GGAAAGAGACGCGAGAAATCAGTACTTACGCAGCGATCTAACGTAGTAACAAAAGGATAGCGGCAGCAGCCCACCGTTCACGCTGATTACTTTGCCACCTAATTCCTCCCTTTATCGCAGCCCCATATCAGTATCCCTACCTCAGCCACGTCCGTCTGATCCTTGATCCAAATATGGCCAATAATCCCACAGTTCTGGGCCCAGACGTACAAACTGCACAAATATCGATGCTCAACGGCCCGAACTTATCGGAAGACACCGACAAGTATCAATGGCGGACGGATGTAAAAAGATGGGCGCAAGTTGTTAAACTATATGCAAAAGGAGGCGACAATCGAGCGAAAGGGATGCTAAACGCGTTGGGTCTAACCCTTTATTTGTCATTAAAACGTGATCAACGAAGCATAATCGACCACGCAGCCCAAAACCACACGATCTCACTAAACTTAGTTGATGAAGAAATTGAGGAAAACATGGCCGACGCAGTGAAGACTCAAATCAAACTCGTAGAAGAAATTGTTCAGTTAGTCGCCAAAGACTCACCTACAGATGGCATCAGACGACTGGTGAAAATTTCACAGAGTATCCATCAGTGTACACGTAGGAGAGGCGAGAAACCTGACGTCTTCACGAAAAAGTTCTAAGGTATTGCAAAGAAATTTCTGAATATGTGCAACACTTTCCAAAGCGTTAACGAGAGCCAAACTTCGCCATTCTATTGCTCGAGAACGCAAACCTCCCATCAGCTACATTCAACAACATTGTCACTCAACTTATCACCAAGTCCGCATCGAAAAATGACTCAAATTCTACATCTATTGTCCTCATACCTGCGATGACTCTCGATGCGTTCCCGTCTCAAGCCACGATCACCACTGCAGCAATCACAACATGGGAGGGATGTTCAGACAAAGATGCAGAAAACGGCCATTTGCAGATTATTATCGATAATACCAAACGCTTGGTACACAAGATAAAAACAGCGACAGATAATGCTCACAAAGATTGGGAAACCCACAACAGTAACACATGCCGGCATTATTCAATTAGTCTAGACGACGCGGAGGAAGCACTTCGCGATATTAAAGCCGATGAAGATGCACCAGACCATAAAAGAAAATTGGACGGCGAAGTCGATCGAAGAGGATCCATGATGACCAAGCGTAGGGACCGAGATGAAATCGATTCACATCCACAACGCAAGCGGTTCGCTTCATACATCGCCCCAGGACCGGAAAGAAAAGGGAGAGCAAATGTATATCATGCGGGAAAGTGGGCCACTGGAAAGGAGATTTCATTTGTGAGAATTACCAAATGCATCACCGATGGAAAGGCAACATGAATGAGAAAATGGTTAGCTTCGAAGGTAATCAGGACCAAAATCTTAAGAATGATACGTATTTTCAGTAAAGGGATCGCTCACGCTCCACTGGAGCGTCTGGCAGATCGATCCCAACCCCATCATTGATGAAGGAGCCCCATCCTCCACCGGAGGTATTCTGAACGCTACTACATTATGTGACCTTCTCGGCATCCCTTTCGTTCTGGACGCACCACGTGAAAAATACGAACACGGCTGGGAACAGGAATGTCATGACGCTCGCGCCATCATCGCAACGTGGACCTTGACCTTCATGGATCGAAATGGCAATCCAATAGCTCTTTCGTTTGACCTCGTCCACAGGGAATCGCCCTTAATAATAGGGTTGGACATCACACAATACGCGAACATTATCAACTGCGAAAGATCGCGACACATCTCGATCAAACGACCGACGGATAGAAAAATCCTTACACTTCTCACGTATATGACATGGGAAGAAACAACAGGCAGGGTTCAGCGACTGCCAGTGGAAATAGCACTGCACAAGCAATCATCATTTAGTAGCCTCATGGCTAACATCAACGCGTTAGGAAAACGAACGCCTCTCGCATTGTCAAAGAAAATTCATCGTTTCACTCACGCAAACGCAGATGAAATTAAGCATATCCGTAAGAATGCGGGCATCCTCAACGAAGAACTTTCGAAGGCAATCGACACAGTAGACAGCGAATGTGAAATATGTGCAAAGAATGGCAGGCCGGCAAGCATGCGGAAGCTATCTCTCACTCACGTTAATTCAGCATTCAACCAGGAAGTTCAGATCGACTTTACGCATTGCAGTATTGACGGTAAGAAATACATTCTCGTCAATATGACGGACAGGGGAACCTCGTGGTCCGAAATACGTATCGTACCAAACCAAAACTTGGAAACGATGAAAAACAGCGTAGAACGCTACTGGATTTGTATCCATGGAGCGCCCAGAGCACTTTCCGGAGACGATGCTTACGACAAGCCCGACTTCTGTGAGTTCCTGAAACAAGACAACATTACGTACAAACCACGACCGGCAAGGAGTCACAACAAATTGGCAGTGTTGAACGAAAAAACCAAACTGTTAAATGCATAATTCGAAAATTGGACAACGAAATTACAAATGCTGACACAAGAACAATCGTGGCGCGAGCAGCGTTCTTATCGAACAGGTTCTCAGGATCCAGGATATTGAGTTCATATTTCAATTAGCAAAGGGCTACACCCCTTCTATCATTGGCATCCCACAATCACATGTCACGACGGAGCTATTACAAGCGCATAAAGAGCAAGCAGCAACCCGCGCCCTTCAAAAACTCCTGCACACCAAGAACCCATCCGTCCTGCACAGCGACATCTTGAAACCGGGAGACCCTATTTGGGTCTACTACGAAGCGTCAAGTAAAGCGAAGAAAAAAGGGTGGGTCAAGGCATCAGTCGTACAGGCGGAACAGCATTGCGTACTTGCCCGACGATCCGAAAAAGGTCCTCCTATGCGAGTAGCGTACGAGGACGTACGAATAGCACCCACCAGCCACCTGACGAAAGACCTAATGTCACAAACATTAGAGGAACAATTAGCAACGGACGACTCCATCACACCTCATATGATCACATAAGCAATGCACAACAGGGACGATAGACAATCGGACAAGCGGGTACGATCGAACGGAAATATTGCAGGTCAAACACAAATAACAGACCAAGAGACATCACAAGCCCGACTGGTTAGTGACGACGAAAGTCCTCCCAATGTGTCCGACATTCCTACATCCACAGCTCTACTGGCAAACACGGTAACAGTCTCCGACGGGAATCCAGAAGCGGAAATCGGCACAACAACCGTCCATGGAAACTCCACGCCAAATACAACACTGTCCTCAGACCGATCGAAAATAATGGAGAATATGCCACGAACGATCGGTAAAGCACAGGTAACACGGAACAAGCTCGAGTTCGCACCTTCATGGATTGTTGAAGAGACATTCAACAAAGAGCATGAGTCGAACTGGGCAGACGCATACGAACTAATTGATGAATCAGATCTGCCATTAAGGGCAAATGTGATCTCATCGCATGTGATCTACAAGGTGAAGACATGCGAAGACGGTTCTCACACGTTGAAAGCAAGGATCGTCCCACACGGCAATAGGGATGTATACAAAGACGATATACGCAAGGACTCATCGACGCCTCAATTTGACGTTATCCGCATTCTCCTCGCCGCTGTGACATTTCTCGGAATGTGTCTGGCCATGGCAGACATAAAAGGAGCATATCTCCAAAGTGGACCGATCCAATGTGACATTTTCGTACGACCACCTCGGGAATGGACTGCTGCGCGCGGAAAGGTACGGAAACTGACGAAACTACCATACGTCATCGTGGAAGCAGAACGGCAATGGGCAAAGACAGTAGAAAATTTGATGCTCAATGGAGTTGGACTTCAACACGTAAAAGGCCTCAACCAGATATATGTGCTAAGAGACAGCGTGGGAAAGATTATACTCATCGTGGCGAAGGTCACAGACGACTTTATCTGTGGAGGATCAATATCAGTAATCCAAACTTTTCTAGAAAAGCTCAAGAAAAGATTTGAGGTCGGAAAAATCGTCATAGACAGAACGTTTCACTTCAATGGCTGTGAGATTGAACAGGACGCCAGCGGTTCGATAAATATGATGATGAATGGCTACATGAAATAGCTAAGAGAAATTTCATTATCAAGAGAGAGAAGGAAGCACCTTAACAAGAACGCCACTGAAAACGAAATCACCCTATTTCGAGGTTTGGCAGGAACCATGCTATGGTTGGGCAAAGGTGTCTTGCCACCCGCAGCTTATGAAAGTTCAGCAATGCAGCAGCGACTCTCAAACTTGAAAGTGGGCCATCTCATCGAGGCAAACGAAATGGTTAGGGACTTCAAAAACCTCGACCGTACCCTTTTCTTTCCTCAAGCAGATCTAGTCAGACAGGCATGGGTTACCACATTCTCCGACGCTTCATTTAATATCAGCTCTCGTAAATCCTATGGCCAGACCGGAGTAATCTGCGGTATTCGAACGACACTGAGTGACGGAAGTGACCAATACTACGTCATAGACTGGGTTAGCACGAAGCAAAGACGAATCAGCCACTCCAGCTATGGCGCAGAATTCCTGGCTTCTACGGAAGCAGATAACCGCGGATATTATATTAAGACAGGAATGCGATCGCTGTTTCCGAAGACTGGAATAAGAAGTGAAATAGTGGTTGATTCAAAGGGTCTCTTCGATACAATCTCAACCCTACATGAAGGAAGAGAGTATCGTTTGCGCTAAACAGTTCAGCGTATCCGCGACAGCTCCAAATCCAACGAAGTTGATGTCAGTCGATGGATTCCCGGCACTCGCAATGTGGCTGACGCATTAACAAAGCGAAATGTTAAGCTCTGGAACGATCTCAACAACATTTGCACTACCGGAATTCTGACGACCGCATTTCTACAGGGTCAGTCCCATGACAGCACAGAATGGAAATTAAATAGCCGTGAAGTCACCCTCATCCCATTCGAGTAACTAGGGGGTATGTGAAACCAGATATCTTGATTGGATCAGTGATCGGATTTCTGCAATTGAAGGTACACGTGCGAATCGACTTGCACTCAAGAACATGTCGACGTACCTGAATACGCAGGACCTTTCGCTATAGAGACGAAAGGGCATACGCGGCAGCGGCAATGCAATATGGGCGAATGCAATCCTCTACTCGGAGGAAAGGTCGCAATCTTGACCAGCTCTATCAGCGGCATAGATAGAGTGGCAGCATGCAAGGAATGAACATAGCGACAAGCACGAGCTCTGCTTCAAGTAGTAAAGCACCGGAAGTGGCAAAGGCAGCGCGCAGTAATATGGCATAGACGATAGATGCGGCAGGAAAGAGACGCGAGAAATCAGTACTTACGCAGCGATCTAACGTAGTAACAAAAGGATAGCGGCAGCAGCCCACCGTTCACGCTGATTACTTTGCCACCTAATTCCTCCCTTTATCGCAGCCCCATATCAGTATCCCTACCTCAGCCACGTCCGTCTGATCCTTGATCCAAATATGGCTAATAATCCCACAACTGTACGAAACGATCCATTGTGGTCGGTGTTCGACTTCGGACCTCAGTGAGCTTAAAGTTTCGCTCCAAACGGCTCAAAGAAGGCAGTGCAGCTGCTGGAAGATCTTCATGCTGATCGAGGGTTCATTTCACAATAGCTAGGCTCGCAGTTGTTCTTTAACCGGTGGAGGGGTATGTCGTCAGACTCTTCCTCAACTTCTTCAGACTGGCAACTCCCTTGGAGGACATCGTTAACCATCATGCTTATATATTCTTCCTCCGTCCTCTATTCTGTACTCCCTCTACCACTTTCCATATTCAGTAGATACTTCACCGACATTCGATCAGGCCCTGGTGCAAGGTCCTGTATTATTTCCGCTAAGCCCACCGTGTCTGTGTCGATATTCAACGACGCAAGGTTGGCGGGACCCGTCGTCGGGCCTGATGTTTGCACGGCACCTATCAATCCTGTGTATTTCCAACACTTTTCAATTAATTGCGGAGATAAACTGCTCCAAATCTGTCGGATCCACTTCATTGCCGTTAGTAAATCAATGTTGTAAATGTTCCCAATCCCTTCATATCTCAAATCAAGAGCTCTTTCCTACTGAGCTTTCCTGTACCGGGCTTTGATGGCAGCAATTATTCCTGCATGTAAGGGTTGAAGACGGGCAGTGGTATTCGGGGGCAACAAAATTATTTAAATATTCTGCAAGACGGGCCACGTACTTTCTGTGCCGTGTGCGCTGCAATTATCGATTAGCAATTCTGCTTTGCGGTCTTTTTTCCGCTCCATATATCTGTCAAACTTGACGAGCCAAGCAAAAAAATACCGGAACGCATCCAGGCCTTCTTGTTATGACTGCAGTAGAGGCTATGATCAATTCCGGGACGACCACCAAAGCAGCGGGGACGAGCGGCGTGACCAATAAATTTGATGTCGAGACGTTCAGTCCCAGATGCATTCGTGCATGGCATAAACGTGAACCTAGTTTTGTTTTTTGCGACCCTTGAGCTGCTCCTTGGCGATTGTGCGATCAGGCGCCAAGTGAAAGTACAGCCCAGATTCATCAGCGTTGAATACGTCGTCCTTTTCATACCTTGATAGACGACGTTGAAGGATTGGAAGTTGATCATTGGCCGCTGTCTCATCCACATCACCACTTTCACCGTGGGACTTAAAGGATCGAAGCCTCCAGCGTTTTTGAAAACGCCAAAGCCATCCTCTCGAGAAACGTATCTCCAGGCGAGCGGGGGGAGAAACGTGCCTGTTGGCCTCGTCCATCATTTTCTTTGCTGCTGTCTAAATAACGCCCCCGTTCACGTTTCTTCGCAAACGAAATTGGGTCATTATCCAGTCCAAAAGAAGCCCTTCAATGTGATGTACCTTCCCGTTATAGGCACGAGAGCGACTGTCATCAAAATTAGATTCTGCGTAAGTGGTTTGATTGAGAATTCGAGAGATTGTGGGCTGGCTCGGGGCGGAACGGAGTTTGAAACTCTTTTGAGACCAAGCTGCAACAGAGGACTGATCAGTTGTCTCTCCCCTTTTCTGTCGACCTTCAGCCTCGAATCGAAGAGCCCTCTTTTCAGCAATGGTAAGGGGAACTCTTTTCATAGTGAGGTGCGCAGTGTGGCGTGATCGAGTGAAGCGAAGACGTTTGATAATGAAGCGAAGACGTTTGATAATGCCCTCCTCATAGGAGTGCAGTATCAAACGTCTTCGCTTCACTCGATCATGCCACTTGTTATGCAATTGAGGTAGAATATTTGTTGAATTCTGTTGTTTTTGGAGGGTTCACCGCCATGGGGATTGAGATCGTATGCATTTAGTGAAATTATTCAAGAAGTGATGATTCATGAACCGAAGCACCACTGTATTCAAGAATCCCGCACAGGATGCCCATTTTACTCCTTAAAACTCTGTAGCATCTCACCAATAAGCAGTTGCGTGGACCCGTGCTGCGACCAATTCCAAAACGCTTCATCACATAAGAGGCGCTCGCGCCAATTTGAAGACAACGCGCAGCCTCGGATTTCTTTTTCAACGAAAGGCGCTTGCGCCTCTTCAGCGAGCCGTGGGCCACCGGTGGAAAGTGAGACGTCATTTCAGAGCACCGTATTGATCCGTGCGTCGGAGAAATGGAACAGGCGGACTGTGGGCGGGACTTCTGAGATGCCTTTGAAATACCAGGCGAGAAAGGGACTGTGTGATTGGAACTACAGTGTTTGATGGTGCTTGAAGTTATGATACCGTGCCAAGCGAAAATGGTGCTCCGAGGTCGTTCTTATTGAAAGTTCTCTTATATCGCGACCCCTTGGACATGGTGTTGTATAATAGTGTCGTTCCAAACGACACTGAATAAAGAACACAAAATATGCTCTGATCTGATATGTGATTGGCCATATATTATACATAAGCACTGTACTTGCGCTACGTCTGCTCGTCCTTTCGGACCACAGTTACATTCGCTCTTGCTTCCAGGTCCCGAACGCGTCGTGAACCCGTCTATCGTTTCTCGCGCTGCGTTTTGCGCTGCGCATGTTCCTTCTTGTCGACCACTACTTCTAGTAGGTCATTCTCTATGCAGTGGCTTTAGCCGCTAAACTCCAGCATTGACATTTTCTCATAGGGGGAGGACTGTGCCGATAGTCAACAAAAGTTGGCTGCAGGGGTACCCCGAAGGGATCTTGTCACCATCACCCAAGGGTCTGCAGACCCTTGGGTGATGGTGACAAGATCCATTGCACTACAACTCTTCCACCACCCATGGGTGGTGGAAGAGTTGTAGTGCAATGTGCCTGGCAGGCCGCGAACACAGTCTGACGGTCAAACAAAAAGAAGAAAAACAGCAACAGAAACAACCACTGCCGATGGCACGCGCTACGGAGCGTTCGAGACTCCCTTTCCCTTGTGTGGGCTTGCGGCCCACGGTAACTCAACTCCGGCGGGGGGGTAAGGAAAGATGCCCAGCCCGGGGAAGAAAATGGTGGTAGAGACTTGTGAATACTTGAGTGCTCGGCGAGTGCAGGTTGGGCTTGTGTACGAGAATGTAACCGCGGTTCGCTGGGTTATAAGGCCAATGCTCGACAAGCGTCTTCGACACCTTGCGTATAATTCAAGGTCTTCGACGGGGGCTCGATTAGCACTATCGGACGGGAACGTAACAATGTAGCAACGCTACGACCAACGTGTTGCCCGATGGCAAAACACCGACACCAATGCGATCGCGATCGCGGTTGGTGGTACCAACACTGTCTTGTATGATAAGGCCTTCGAAGGAGGCGTCGTTGCAACAGCCTTCTGACGGAACAGGACACTGTAGCAGCGCTACGACCTACGTGCAGCCCGATGGCAATCACACCAACACCAGATCGGTCGCGACCGACTCCAATGGAACCAACACAATTAAGGGAAAAATAGAGGTGGAGATAGAAAAGGATAGGAATTAGAGATAGAAAACGTAAAAGGATAAGGAAAGGGGACCCCGAGCAATAGAGGATGTCGTTAGCAGCGTAGAAGTGAAGCGCGTCGCGTGAACGGAAGCGGTCTTCGACGAAGGCGAGATCTAACTCCGGCAACTCGGGTTACCTTTACTCACTTGGGTTGGTAACTGGACTATGCTGTATAGCCCCGTAGGGACGAGTACAGTAGCTCCCGGCTCTAGATTCTAGATCTAATTTGTAAATAGAATTAAATAATTAAAATAATCGTGCGCATCGTTGCACACGTGTGTCCTCCAGCCCGGACCACAGTATCTAATTATTTTCCTTTTCTCACTTCCTTTCACCCCCGTACCTGAGACGGGTATTGCACTACATATCCCCCTTCGGAGCGTCCTTGCCCACCGCCAACCCCTCGTATAATCTTCCGATTCTTTTTCCTCTCCTTCCACCTCGCGGTCCATCCCTCGTCCTCCCCCTTCGACCGAGGGTCTCTCCTTGTACTATCTAGTGCCACTTTCCCTCCTACCACCCCGCGGGAACCCCTTTTAAGAGGCGGTCGAGCAAGGACAAGACGACCCTTCCTCCCCGTGGCTGATGTTCGACACGTCTGTCCCTCCATCGGGACCCTCATCCGAACTGGAGGACCCCCGTGTCCGGCGACGTCGTGCCGGTGTGGGATTCTCATACAAGTCCAGCTACCCTCAAGAGCTCCCCTCAATCCCCCGATTACCTCCTCCTCTCGACCCGGCCGAACCGGCTCTTCATCCGGATCATACTCCAGTCGTCGCTACATCGCAGCGATATCCCTCACTTGAAGAGTTACACGATAAATCCATGCACCATTACCCCCTACTGTACGCAGCAGCAAAATGGTTTTCCGTGATCGGGGTGCGCGATCTCGACGGCATCGAACGAGACTTCGCCGACGGTGCGGGTATCTTGCCCGGTAACCTCCTCATGTTAGCCGTACGCTCCCATGATTGGCGTACTCGAATAGGCATTCCTCCATCGATCCTCCGACATTCTTCCCCTCGCGGTCGTCAAGCGCTGTCAATGCGCTTTATGCAGGCCGTCATCGAACGGCTGGACCTCTCCATGACGGACGCTTTGATTCCTTCCCAATCAGGCCACCAAATATCCTCAGATAGTATGAGAGCGATACCCACTTTATCACCTACAACACCTATCGAGCGGTGTGGCAGTGACAATACCTTGGTATTCCATCCCTTGGGCGTTCTCAACGAGCGCTGTGCGGCGGA